TTGACTCGAAGATGGGAGAGAGCCGAGATCAGAACGCGAAGGGACTTTTATTCTGTCCTACAGGGAATCAGTCCCAAAGCTGCACGGCTAACGGGGAGGATCCTGGATTGGCTGATGGACTCAGGGAAACTGCCGAAGTACGGTCTGGCCAGGGGGCTGGAGCTGGAGCTCGCAGTCTAATACCCTTTCCTTCGAAGGCCAAGAGGCCTTCCCACTTTGTATTTGCAGGATCGCACACTGATCGTTTCCTTGATTGTCGATATGGGTTTTTCACCCGGCCCACGAGGGCGCGGTTTTCCTGTATAGTAAGTTGTTGAAGGTCCGGCAAGCCCAAGGGCACAGCGGTGTAGGAATAATAATATATCGGGTTAGTCCATATTCTCGTCTGTCGGCGCTTTGCGCTTGGAAGGGCCGTTGAAACTGGCTGGTTTATTAATTAGTGAAGTCTGCAGCTGTAACGATGAGACAAGACGTACTAATTATGCTTGCTGATCAAGAGGCTTGCGTGACTCTGTAATTAGAGACTCTTTCTCGATGGAGGGTAGCAAGGGCTTGACGCATGGCTAAGTAAAATGGAAAATAAATCGAAGGAGGCGACGGCTGTTCTGATATCATAGGTCCGGCGAAATAATCGGGTCCTCAAGCTGCGGTTTGCTGTCTGGCTTGTTGGCAAGTCGGCGGTCGCAGGTGTGACCGCGAGGGATGAGTAACGACAAGGTATAGGTCGGTGGGTGGCCGTAGCAAGATGCAAACGGCGGAGTTGCCTTTTTCTTTTCTTTTTTTTTGTCTGGTTTTCTATGTTTTTTGGTCTTTGCTTTTCTTTTTTTTTTTCCTTTTTCTTTGCCATACCAGAGGCAAGGTCAGTTCCCGCGTGCAAGGGCGGGCCCATAGTTACTAGAGCGGTTTACGCGCCCTCAGGCCTCATTCGCATTTCTATCCGAGAAGCATCATCAAAGCCCCTCCCCAGGAGCTTAAAGCTTCTGCATGGTGGCAACATCCGTCGACTGGACGTATTCCTCGAACTCCTGGATCTCCTCCTCGAGCTCGGTCAAGCTGATCTTCTCGTCCTCGATAACGAGGTTGATCTGCAGCTTCTTGACACCGAAACCAACGGGCACTAACTTGGAAGCACCCCATACCAGACCGTCTTTCTCGATGCCGCGCACGGCGGCCTCGAGGGCAACCATGTCGGTCTGGTCGTCTTTGGGAGTCAATGTTAGCGTGAAATTCAATCAGAATGCATGTCAAACCTTAGCGTACCCCAAGGCTTGATGTCCAATATGACTATAGACTTCGCGGCGACCTTGGGCTTGGCCTCCTTCTTCTTGCGGTACTCAGCCAGACGATGGTGGACGCCTAATTCGCAAGCATCCTCCTCCTCCTCGCTGCCGAACAGGTCGACATCGTCGTCGTCCTCCTCAGCAGCCGGGGCATTCGCACGGTTCAGTGTGGCAGCGTCGACGTCAGGACCGTAGGCGGTGTAAGGCTTAGCCGCATCACCGGGAAGCGTTGCGAAGTCGTCATGGTAACCAGCGATGTGCTCGTACCATCGCGCAGCGTGCGGGTACTTGGCAGCCTCAGGGGGAGGCGCAGCACTCAGGGCCTTGAAGACGGCCACGTCGGCCTGGGACGGCGAGGAGCTATCGACGCGATGAGTCAGTGGGAGGTCGAAAGCATGAGCAAAAGGGTTCAGAAATGCAACATAGTTAAGCACTTAGTAAGTCGTCATATGCAAGTCTTGACGCTGCTAGGAAACACGGACCAATTTGTATCATCATATTGTTGAGCTTGGTGATTGGGAGAGGATCAGAAAGCAGACTAGACATACCCGACGATGTAGGAGCGGGTGGACAACCAGCTGTCGAGAACTGCGTCCGGTTAGGCGACGCTCGCAAATGCATCACACACCACTCACTACATACCGCTAAGACCAGCGTCCGAGAGCAAATCAGTGAAGCCCATTGTGACGGTATTCGACTCGCGGATGGTCAGCGAGAGGAAAGCAAAAGACTTGGGTGTCAAGAAGTTGGAAGAGTAAAAAATATCGAGGACAAAGGCTGTTAATTAACTGTTTTGTGAGGACTGGGCTCGGACTCAAGACGAGGCTGTGTCGCGCACATACCCGAACCCAAACACCCGTGTCCGCTGACGTCTGGCCGCGGAATGCTAGGTAGCCCACTAATGAGTCAGAGTACCTTCCCGGTGAAGGAACATCGGGGGCCGCGCGCGCAGGCGGCCGGGCATCGCAAAAATTGGAAGACAGGTCCTTTGTGACCTGGTCTTTCATTTCCAAGGGGTTGCAGTTCCGCGCAGCTACTGCGCGGCCTGTTGGCGGCCGAAGACGTCGATTTCGAGGATCAGAAGTGAGGTGTCTGAGCGCCCGGAAATCCCTCACCACCCCGCCCGACAACCGCGACTTAGCGACACCAACGACAAGAACAAGCTGCAACAAACTTTGCAAGATCAGGGCGATACTGGGTACGAAAACCACCCAACTCTTTCGACGATCTGAAGAAGAGACAGGGCACCCCCGGCCCTGCCCAGTTCTGGGAGAGCGAAGTCAAGAGTCTTGGCGGCAAAACCGACCGGTGAGACGACGCTACGAGGACTGGAGCGAAAGCTGCTGTACGACTCCGATTGCAAGAGTTGTTAATCGACCGAGGAGAAGGAAGGTGACGGGTTCGTTAAGGGGAGACACACGGGCGGCTGGCCTTCCTGCGAGGCGCTTCGCCCTCTTGACAAACAGCACACTACAAAAGGAGGAACTACAATAGTGGATCAGGGCAGGTTAGTGGCAGTGCGATGGAGGGAGCTGCGCCGGTGTGGCAGCTTTTTTCGACGGCCTGCTGCAAGACACGGTCGGCACTGCGGCTTCGGCCTCGTGGGGAGACCTCGCAGTGCAACGGGAAGCTGGAAGTCGGGGTTGCGCCCGGCGGCAGGTGGGCCGTGGCGGCTATGCTGGACCGAGGGGAGGGCAGTAGAGTTGCGGTCCCGGCTCGCACCCGGGCCACAGGAGCGAAACAGCTGTTGCCTCGGCGGGGGACCTGTTGGACTGTACGCGTGGCTAGGCTACGTCCCCTTGTTTCCGGCCGCAGGTTACAGTATGGGGTGAAGACGCGGATGGATTGCACCGGGTATGGGTGCCTCAGCTGTGGAAAAAATGTGTGGTGTCGCCGCCGCAATGAAGCTGTAGTTCCGAGGAGCAGTGTAGCTGGCCGGAGAGGACGGACGCGCGTGTCGGTTTTCCAAGAGAGAGGGAGCTTTGCAGATGCCAAGTACCCGGCTCGCACCCGGGCCCCAGCCCTGCGCAGGCTGCTGTGGTGTCGCCTACGAAGCTCTGTAAGGT